AAAGCTGTAAAACTATTTTTACCTTACTGCAGGGAATGTTGAGTTGGAAAACAATTTGGCCTCATTGGCCTACCTAATCACAGGCTATCCCCTCTTCAGTCTATCATGCATTCTACTGCCAGACTCATTCACATTACTAACCATTCCATATCTGCCACCCCTCTCTGCCAATCCCTCCACTGGCTTCCCATTGCCCAAAGAATAAAATTAAAAAATTAACAATCACCTATAAAGCCATTTATAACTCTGCCCCAAATTACATCACCAATCTTACCTCCAAATATCACCCAAACCGTCCTCTCTGCTCCTCCCACGACCTCCTGCTCTCTAGCTCCCTTGTCTCCTCCTCCCTTGCTTGTCTACAGGACTTTTCCAGAGCCTCCCCCATCCTCTGGAACTCTCTACCCTAATCTATCCGACTATCGCCAATTCTACCCACTTTTAGGAGATCTCTGAAAACCTATCTCTTCAGGGAAACCTATTCTTCCTTCAGCTAATAACGGAATCTTCTATTTCTCCTATAGGTTCATCCCCCACAGTTGTTACCTTTTGAACCACCAGCCCCTCCCTCTTAGATTGTAAGCTCCAAGGAGCAGGGCCCTCCTAACCCTCTTGTATTGAACTGTATCGTTGCTGTATTGTCTCCCTTTATATTGTAAAGTGCTGCGCAAACTGACGGCGCTATATAAATCCTGTATAATAATAAATAATAAAAATAACCACTTTCACGGCACACGCTCGTATGAAATCAATAATTCTAAGGTCATCCATAACTGTTAACACTAAACTGATGAGCTGTGAAGGCTTTCAAAGCATCACCTATGTAAAATTGTGGGTACTGTCATTTTTTTCCAATTCACAGGCGCACACAATTTTGAGGCTTGATATATTTGGTATCAACTCTACACAATCTTGAAGGGTGGCCGTGTTTTTCTGACAAGAGTCTGACTAAGCCACATACCAGGGGTACCTTGTCCAAAGGCACGCTCATCAATGCCCAGGACTAGGCAGGAATTGCAGTCATGTGTACTTTCTAACATTAAGGCAATCTCCCTTAGAGATGAGCTAGCAGTGCAGGTAGAATGACCCTGAGTTCCTGATAAAGTGTTGTCCCATAGCTCTACACACAGTGATTTCAGTATGTTGCATTTGGAGTGGCGGGCCTCACCATCTCCACCAGTCAGCATACCTCTGTTACTTCATTCCCAGTAACAGAATGAGATCCTGGAGGACATTTAGCGTGGATCCCATGCGTATCCTGTGTTAACCCTTCTTCTACCGTACTGTAAAGTCAGGCTGAGAACCTTCATGATGCTGGTCTGCTCCAGATTGCTATGGGAATCTGCCAAGGAAGGAGTCAGATGATGACCCCCTCGCTATTGGAGTGTACCTCACCTTACCCAGGTACCACTCCTCAACTGGTTGCTGGTCTTGAATGTGTACTTAGTTACCATTAGCAATGACCTTGCTGTTCCTTAGCATACTGTATTGACACTGTAGTGTGGTGTTCCTCATACCCCTCTAGTGCTTTACAGGCTCAGGTTATATGAATACGCCAGCCCCAGAATACGCCCCTTTGAAAGGACTTCAGACCAGGCTCAGTAAAAGTTAATGGCCTTTACTGTTCATCTGTATTGGGAAATATAATAAAAAGTACAACTACTGACCAACCAGGATCAGGTGTGGTGTGAAAACACACGACTTTAAAGTGATACTAAACCCAGGACCCTGCATTCACTATCTCTGGTCTCCCACAGTACACAGAACAAGGAAATGCAATTATTTTAGTAAATATAGATTGCTAAATACCTTTTCTCATCAGCAGGATATAGCAGTCTTGTGACTTCTATTGATGTCTAGGAGAGCACCGGTTAATGCTTGTAGGAGGAGTTTTCATTCCCCCCAGATTGTCCTATGAGGCTGCATGACCCCTGACCCTCTGTCTGGATAGTGCTGATTGGCCCTGTGGTGATCACATGCACTCTCCCAAGGAAAAAAAACTCTAGCAATATACACCAAACTGAGTGCGTGCAGCTTGCTCTCAAGGCTCTGTGCTATCAGCAGATGGATTGGGGACATTAGAGGAAGGGGAGGATCAGAGAAGACAGGATCAACCATCCTTTTTACACAATGCGGAGGTTTAACCCCTTAGACTCCACAGTGAGTATGACAAGTATGCTTTTCTGCATATACTGACTGATTTTACTGTTGTGGGTTTATTAACACTTTAGGTCGCAATTGCGGCCCTTTTATTTTTCTTTTCTCCATGTTTCTTTTTATGTTATGTATTTATGCCATTCTTATATTGTGAGAATTTGAGCCGACAAGCTCACAAGTGTGTTTTTTTTTTTTCTTTCATATAACTCCTGAATGTTATATGCACTCTTTTGATACAGGTCGTAGTGTATACTTTGTCTTCCTGGCATTGTGATTGTAGTACTATTGCAGTGGTTGTAATTAGCCCTTTCACTGACCTTACCTGTAAGTTTTTTTTTCTCTCTCATTTTGTGCATTTGAAAACCATAAATAAAGATTATATTAAAAAAAAAAAAAAAGTTTTCTGTTTCTTAGATCACCTTAACTAATAGATGGCCCAGGCATACTTTATAGGTGAAAATTCATTGTGACAGAGTCTTTAGATGGCGCCATAGTCCATAGTTAGTGGCATGGTTCATAGATGGTGGCACCCCTGGGACTCGGTATAAATGGAAGACGAGCTGGTCTGTCCTGGAAGTGGGAACAACAGAAGCCTATCACCACACCGGAATGCACGGGGACTCGGGTAACCGTTCCTGAATCTCTGCTCCTGTGAAATAGCTGGAGATTACATTTTTAGGGTTATCTGTGTCCTTTCCTATGCAGCAGCTCTCTCTGTTCACACAGCCCTTCCCCTTTCATTTTACAACACAGGGAGAGAGGCAGAGCCCAGAAAGAGCGGGAAATGCAGAACTAGAAGTAACCCTTAACCTGGGCCAGCCAGCTGTCTTACTAAACCCAGCATTTCAACCTGCTATACTAGTATACTACCATACTTAGCAATTAGCGATGCCATGCTACAGATAATAAAGCTAGCAGAATACTCTCATGCATTAAAGTGCTAGTAAACCGCAAGAAAACCCCCCAAAACAATAGGCCCCTGCAGGTTTAGGTCATAATGTACTAACCTGCAGGTGCAGGCATCATCCCAGGGATAACAACTTCAACCCGAGGATATCATATATGGTTAATTAATAATTTACAAAATGTTCATGTCATCTTTCTTTATGGCGTTGGCTTTGCGCATAGGGGCATAGCAGGGACGGATCTAGCCTATCTAATCTGGGGGTGCAGTAAAAAAAGTAAGGGGGCATAATGTCACTGAGAGTCTGTCACAGTGTCATGACTAGTATGTATTAGGGATAGATTGGGATGATTAAACAGAATCTGTGCCCCTTTATCAGAAGTCGTCATCAGAGTCCCCTATTACATGGGGTCCCCATCACAGTGCCCCTTTACTTCAGGGTCCCTATCAGAGTATCCCCTTATATCAGGTGTCCCCATTAGAGTGCCTCTTACATCAGGATCCCTATCAGAGCGTTCCCTTACATCAGGTGTCACCTTCAGAGTCCCCCCCCTTACATCAACTGTCCCCAACAGAGTGCCCTCTTACATATGATCAGTTATCCCTATCACGGTGCCCCCCCTTATATCAGGTGTCCCAATCAGAGTGCCCCCTTATATCAACTGTTTGCATCAGACTGGTTCATGGATCAGTGTGTGTACTCTGAGACCTGGAGGGGCACAGCTAAAATCTGGGGCATCCCCAGCACCCCCCTAGATCCGGCCCTGGGGCATAGTCATGCTGGTGCAGAAAAAAGGCCTTCCCAAAATGATAAGCAAAAGGGTGGAAGTGCACAATTGTCTGCAATGTCTTTGTATGCTGTACAAGTAACAGTTTACTGAAAATACCTAAACTCAATCATTTGGAGGAAAAAAAATTAATTATGGAATATTACTGTCTTTGGAAATGGTGTTATCCATTCTTTGAACTTGAACTTTTTATATTTCAGAAAACACCTTATCAGTATTGTGTATAATTTGTACACACACAATAGCCATCTTTAATAGATTACTTGGTCTAAAAATGTTTTTTTTTGGAGCTGTTTTAATTTTAAATAGAAAACATGCATAGATTGCACAGTATTTCCACTCAAACCTGGAATATATACAAAAATCTGTTTCTGTTTTGAAGATCATGTGCTTCTATTGTCTGATTTTAAGATTTTTACCCTATTACTTCATGAAATGTTTAAAGCTACATTGTAGAATTATTGCGTTGTTAATATTACCTTTTGGGTTATTTGTTACACAAATAAGATAGTGAAAAGGTCTTTCTCCCTTAATTTACAGCAGACATAATGACCTCTAATGTTTTAGATGCATCTGTAAGGGACACAGGATGTTATTAAAGGCAAAAGGTAAGTGTAAGGTTAAGCAAAGGATACTAGAGCTCAACCATCGGGCGCTGCTTGTGGGAAATGTAAACCTACAGCAGAAAGGGCAAGATACAAAGACGCACTTCAGATACAAATTATTTTAAGCAGGTAAAATGACCACTGCATATATATACATTTGTTGGCAATACTGACAGTGATTACAATATGCAGCCAGCAAATGCCAATTTTTACACTGTGCAGTCTACAAATAGGCAATTGTTACAATCTCCTAGGTCGCATATGTCAAATACAAGGCCCGTGGGCCAGACCAGGTTATGTGGCTCTTACACCCAATTTTTCAGTTGGAAAATGGCTGAACTTTGTTCTGCCTCCTCCGACTCTCACCTTCTGCTCCCCACTGTCACTTATAAATACAGAAGTCTTCTATGTTTACAAGGACAGCTTTGCTTTGGATGGCTCATGGCCCAAACAGATCCCTCAGGTATTCCTCAACTGTGCACTCTGTACAAAGTGCACCCCTGAACTCTGCACTCTGCATCTAATGCACTCCTGAACTCTGCACCGGGGGCAGACTGACCATTTGGAAACTGCCTGAGGGCCAGGGGTCAGTAGGGGGCCCCATGAGATGCCCCTGGTACCTTTTGAATAGGCTTTTTTGAGGTTGGGCAAGGACACATGGGCCCCATGATCCCCTATTGCCCGGGGGCCCCATGAGTTGTCAGTCCGCCCCTGCTCTGCACGTAATGCACTCCTGAACTCTGCACGTAAGGCATTCCTGAACTCTGCACTCTGCACATAAGGCATTCCTGAACTCTGCACTCTGCACGTAACGCATTCCTGAACTCTGCACTCTGCACATAATGCACTCCTGAATTCTGCATTCTGCACATAACGCATTCCTGAACGCTGCATGTAATGCACTCCTGAACTCTGCACGTAATGTACTCCTGAACTATGCACATAATGCATTCCTGAATTCTGCACGTAATTTACTCCTGAACTGTGCACTCTGCACGTAATGCACTCCTGAACTCTGCACTCTGTACGTAATGCACTCCTGAACTCTACACGCTGCATGTAATGCACTCCTGAACTCTGCACTTAGTACGGAGCACACTCCTGAACTCTGCACTTAGTACGGAGCACACTCCTGAACTCTGCACTTAGTACGGAGCACACTCCTGAACTCTGCACTTAGTAAGGAGCACACTCCTGAACTCTGCACTTAGTACGGAGCACACTCCTGAACTCTGCACTTAGTACGGAGCACACTCCTGAAACTCTGCACTTAGTACGGAGCACACTCCTGAACTCTGCACTTAGTACGGAGCACACTCCTGAACTCTGCACTTAGTACGGAGCACACTCCTGAACTCTGCACTTAGTACGGAGCACACTCCTGAACTCTGCACTTAGTACGGAGCACACTCCTGAACTCTGCACTTAGTACGGAGCACACTCCTGAACTCTGCACTTAGTACGGAGCACACTCCTGAACTCTGCACTTAGTACGGAGCACACTCCTGAACCCTGCACTTTGTACAGAGCACATTCCTGAACTCTGCACGTAATGCACTCTTGAACTCTAGACTTTGTACAGAGCACACTCCTGAACTCTGCATGTAATGCACTCCTGAACTCTGCACTTTGTACGGAGCACACTCCTAGAGCACAACTGCCCCTTTGAGGGTAACCATACTGCTGATGCATCCCAAGATGAAATTGAGTTCGACACCCCTGTCCCAGGTTGTAATCTCTAACTAGCAGGACCCCCTGACTGCTCCTGTATTGAACTGGATAGTAATTGTATTGTCTGCCCTTTATGTTTTAAAGCGCTAATCAAACTGTTGGCGCTATATAAATCCTGTATTATAATAATAATGCTAAAGTATCCTACCAATGGTCAATTTCTATCAAGCTCTAATTAAGAGTTAAGAGACCAAAGATGATACAGCAGTGTAAAATTGGCCAGACACAGGGCAATAGAAAAAGTAGGCTTTAAGTGGTTCTAAAAGCAGAAGCTTTTTTTTTTTTACCTTAAATCAATCTCTGCATTAAGGTAAAAAAAAAAACCTTTGTGTTCAGCTTCTCCACCATCCTTCCATTCTTCCAAATACCTACCTGAACCTGATCTCAATCCAGCACTATGCCTGAAAGGAAGGGTTCTTTCTTCTTTCTTCCCATTTCAACATGCAGTATATACAGTATGTTTTATTGAAATATATTTTGAAATATATTGAATATGGCCAAAATTGTAGCATTTCAAAGATATGTCAATATATTTGGGAAGAATATTTTAAAAATATATTTCAAATATATTTTTCTTCCATGTGGGTTCTCTTTCTTCACTGGATATAGAGGCAAGAGTGGGAGCCATTGTCTCCTGCTGCTGTCAATCACATGCTGTGGGGGGTAGGGCCTAGCTGCACCGTGTATGCCAATAGACACACACAGAGGGCTCTCTGAGCCTGCACGTGTGCCTCCATAACAAGCAGCTGGCTATGGGGGCACTCGGAAAGGGGGGAGGAGCACCGGCAAGGGGGACCCAGAAGAAGAAGATCATGGCTTCTCTGTGCCAAAACCACTGCACAGAGCAGGTAATTATGACATGTTTGTTATTTGCAAAAAACTTCCTTTAAATTCACTTTAAATTTGCTAGAGACAGAGAACACAGCCTAGGAGTTTACTAGAAGAATTAAGATACTGCAGAGAATGCAGCAGTGTACAGATGGACAGCATCAGGACAATAGGCCTAACTGATGTATGCCTAACTTTTGTTTTATTTATGGGGATGTGGGGTGGTGTGGTAGTGAATGTAAATAATATAATGTGAGGTGGTTTAAATGCACACTGTCCTTAGTTACACACTTTTTTTTCTTTCAAAACAATGCAGCAGCATGATGTAAACAAAAAGCAGCTTAAAGAACAGATGAACAGTAGTATGCAAATATACCGCTTTAAGCACCCCAAAATTAAACTGGGGCCCCATCAACAGAAAAGAAAAAACCCACTAAAGAAATGAAAACCACAAAATACCACCCCTGAAAGTAAGGGAAAACTTGCAGCAAAGAAAATAAAGCAGTTAAAAGCTCAAATAAATACCCTCAATAGATAATTAAATAACTAAAGCAATATAGAATAAATCAATAAATCCCCAAAATAAATGTAAACCCAAATATACCACCCCTGAACAAAAAGGCCTTTTTTTCAAAAGGTAACCTTGCAGCACAAAAAAATCCCACAAAAATGCCCCCCCCAAGCCAACATAAAAAAGCAAAAACAGCAAAGGGGTTCATTTCCAAAAGAAATGCCAAGCAGAATTATAGTTTCCTAACTGACCCTAATGTCTCCCTATGCCGTTTGTCAGCCTTCTCTGTGCTTATCCTACAGCTTCCAATTCACTGACACTATGGCTGCTCTGTGCTCCTCTCCCCTTTAAATAGTGAGGGGCTGGCCCTTCTATGCCTGCTGGGCATAGTTTAAAGGTCATGCAGTGCATCATGGTTAAAAAAAAATTCTGCTGGGTAAATCTGCACAGAAATTTGCCAGGACTGCAAAGATTTGTAGGATACTCCTTGAACCCATTGGTAACGGTGAACTTGAACCTCATCCTTATCAGACACAATAAGTTTACTCACATTTTAATTATATCACTAGCATTGTAAGATGATCTCTGTATACACAATACCTTTTCTTACTCATTGAACTTACTGATAGATTCCAGATGTGCCATTTTGTCTTTGTGCATCTGATGGGATACCCTGAAAAAATGGTGAACAAGAGGACACTGAAAAGTGGCACATGCTGGTTTTTTCGTTTTCTGTAGAGGGCCCTGCTGTGTTTTCTGTCAGCCACCGGCCAAAATAGCGTTCGTGTTAGCGAGCTTAACGTCTGGCTAGAATATCTTGCATAGTAAAATATTCACCGTGACCATTTCCTGCTATACATGGTGGAATCATGGAGGATTACATGGCAGGTCATTTAGAGTCTTGTAGCTGAAGGTGGATAATTAAATTAGGAGTGATTACATAAAATAGAGGGCAAATCCCACCTAATTCAATATTAGTACAGTATGCTTGTGAGTCTGGCATGCAAAGCATATGGAACTTGCTGTCATCTGTCCGCATTTGCTATGATAATCTCAAAAATTACAATATCAAACAATAATATGACTGGATGACTTCACGGCCGTGGAATGCAGACTATCCACTGCTGAGCTGTTCCTAACTTATGCTGTGGGTTGTACTGTACACTGGGCCAACTTTTATAGAAAACATCACTCAGTTTAGAGAATTACATAATGTTTAAGAATGAGTTGGTACAGTGTACACAATATTAATTATACAAAATTCCGCCTGTTCTTTGAAAAAAAGAAAATCTTATTTCAAATTTGAGTTCTAGCCTCCAAATATAACTACGTAAAGGACTACTGCACGCCAATTACATAAATCTCATAAAACAGTATGTTTAAAGGTTATTTTGCCACAATTCTAAGGTTAAAGTTCATATCCCAAAGAGTAGCAGAACAGAAATTGCAGAAAATCAGGGCTTTAATGCTTTAATGGATTTCCCCTTTTGAACCAACCCACACATTGAAGCGTGCCAGCACTCTTTACAAAAAATAATAATTTTACATTCATTTTATTGAGGTGTCTTCAGTGCAACCTTTACTGTTGCTGTCCCTTGTCCTTAACCTCTTCCTATGGCCGAATGGTGGCCGGCAAAAACCGTTACCTTTCCGTGTGGACGCCATATGGCATCCTTTCGGGCATGTGAAGTTTGTGCGCCTGCAGAGCCGCGCAACGGTGCGATCTGTCACCGGCTGTGTACCTCGGACACGGCCGATGACAGATCTGAGTACCGGCCCTGTTGTCGGTACCATGTGACCTGCTGTGACCAATCACAGCAGGTCACATGACAGTTGTATACAATGGATGTATCATTCATGCCATCCATTGTATACTAGTGTGTCTAGCTGTGAATGGTCACAGCGATCACATGCACAAGCTGGGCCAATCACAGCCCAGCTGTGTCATGTCATTAGTCGTGGCCAAATCACAACTAAGCACAAAAAAAAAAAACCCTGAATGAATCGATGTAATTCAAGTAAATGCTTGCTTATAGCAAAGTAATTCTTTGTTATAAGCAAATTGTGTAAGAAAAAAAAATACTGATTACTACTTTGGTCATAGTGAAATATGAAAAAAAAAAATCTTAAAAAAAAGAAAAAAAAGTAATAAAAAAAAAAAAAAAAAAAAAAAATATATATATATATATATAAAAAAATTATACTTTTTTTTTTCATGCTGTCACCAGTCAGTCTCCCTGATCACCGTAATGCCAGTTATATGATGACGCTGTACTGTACTGGTGACAGTATGTAAAAAAAAAAATAGTGAAAATATTTTTTTTACTTTTCCGAAAAATTATGACAAAAAAATACAACTTCAAAAAAACTCGCCATTCCTCTTATGAAGTACGTCGGACTGTCTACTCTGCAAAAAGTGGTCATTTGGAGGATATCTGTATTTTTCTGACATTCTTGGACCTCAAGAAATTAAATTGGCTGTCAGTACTTCAGGATTGATCAATATTCAGATATATCCCATAGTTTGTGAACTCTTTAACTTTCCTACAAACTAAAAAAAACATCCTAATTTGGGTTATTTTCACCAATTATTTATTTGCAAACTTTTATAACAGAAACAAAGAAAAACGTGTTTTTTTTTTTCAAAATTTTTGGTATTTTTGTTAATTTAGCAAAAAAAAAAACCCCAGTGGTGATTAAA